TATATATATATATATTTTTTTTTTTTTCATCAGTGAACTTGCAGTTGAATATAGAGTGATACTGGTTAAGATTCAAAGTAGATGAATAAGCACTTTAAGAGCTCATACAATTATTTTACTCCCACATCAGTACTGAGAACTATAATTATACAATCACAATAAATAACGTCTCGGTTACGTATGTAACCCTCGTTCCCTGAAGGAGGGAACGGAGACGTCACATTCCGTCGCCACAGCTCCTGTATCACCGCTGAGCGGCCGGGTCACCGGGTCGGCTCCTCAGCGAAAACCTGAATATGCGGTGCATCTGCTGCCTACTTATACTCACGCTGTGATCAGCAGCAGCTGGATGCAATAATCGCATGCCAATGTGCATTGGCTCGTTTAGTTTACACTCGAAGTGGATTGGTCTCTCTAAGCGAGATCCCAATTTCGTCGGTCATCCGACGTGACGTCTCCGTTCCCTCCTTCAGGGAACGAGGGTTACCATACGTAACCGAGACGTTCACCCAAAAATTAAATTAGCACATAATTTACTCACCCTCAAGACATCCTAAGCGTATCTGGCATTCCTCTTTCAGACAAACACAATCGCAGTTATATTTAAAATTGTAAAATTGTCCTGGCTCTTCCAAGCTGTATAATGGCAGTGAAAGGTGACCCTGTTTTTGAAGCCTAAAAAAAACTGCATCCATCCATCCATCATAAAACTACAGCTCCGGGGTGTTAATAAAGGCCTTCTGAAGCGAACCGATGCGTTAGTGTAAGAAAATTATTGATTTTTAAAAATGTATAAACTGTAATCTCCAGCTTCCAGTCGCTCAAGCAGGCGCGTTCACGACAAGGCATTCAAACGTATGACGTAGGCGTAGTGGAAGGCGCAACGTAAGATCCGGGGAGTGACGAACGCAGAAGCCCAGAGGAGAAAGCAAAACAAAACACCTGTCACGAACTAGTACTACAAAAACGAAGATTCTGAGTGAAAATGTCGGAGGATTTCGATATAAGGCAAGAGGAGAATGAGTTTTTTGCCCAGCCATATTTGTTTGAACCGGAGTAAACCGAACAGGAACTCCACGAGATGGAGGAGGCTGCAGCGGCCGCAAAAACTACAGATGTAGTTCACATGGTTTCTTGTGCTGTAAACAAAACTTGGTTCTCACGAGACTACACTCTTCTCCCCGGAGCTTACGTTGCGTCTTCTGCTACGCCTACGTCATACACTTGAACACCTTGTCCCATTATACAGCTTGGAAGAGCCAGGACAATTTTAAATATAACTGCGATTGTGTTCATCTGAAAGATGAATGTCAGATACGCCTAGGATGCCCTGAGGGTGAGTAAATCATGGGCTAATTTTCATTTTTGGGTGAACTATCCCTTTAAAAATCTGCACCTATGGTAGCACAGAGTCAAAATTTGTGCAAATGCTTGATAAGGGAGCTTAAGGTGTCACATGAAACTGTACAAAACTGAGCCACACATTTTAAGGGAGTTTCAAATTGCATGCAAGGTTGCACAGATGATCCAAGCCCTTTATGCTTTCTATACATATGAGTTTTTAATACATTTGCTGTGCGATACATACGAGAGCATTCAGGCACACCGCAATGGTACTTATAATTGGGAGCGTTGCTATGCAGTTTTGAGTGCTGAAAAAACTCAATAACAGTCTCAGACACATGCTCACACGAACTGAATTTACAGTTGAACATCGTGTTCTATTCTGTTGAGAAAAACAAAATACGGAGCTAACAGGGATTTAAAACCAACAATCCTGTGATTTTGGATAATTATAGCTAGAAGACTGCCCTAATAACACCAAGTTAACATATTAGGATCACACGCAAAAAAAAATTACTAAACACTACTAAACCACATAAAAAGAAATGAACGATATATACACATTAGTTAAAGATAAACATGAAAATATGGGATATATAACGTAACAGAAAAACTCAGGTTGTCAACCTTAAAATGCACGGTGTGTGTAGCTAGAAAGCTACTTCACCAACCTGTAACTAGTCACTACTGCTGTAAGGTGGCTCACGAATACAAACATCATAAAAAGATAACGATTAAAAGACAATGATTTTAAACGTATAATCTACAACTACAAATCACTGCAAGTCCTTTGGACTGTCTAGTTATAACCAACGTTAATGTACTTGCAAAACACAGATGAGTGCAGTTTGGTCTAACAACGGGGAAACTGACGCGCAGTACATTTGGCAGTGGAATTTTCTATTCCAGAAACAAAGACGATCAAAAGGAGTAACGTTTTTCCCCCCAAACAATAGCTTAATTTGAATACTGACATGCGCACTTCATTTTTCACTTGAGGCGGCTGGCAACGGCTGCACCTCCGTATCACACACACAGCATCAGAGAAAGTTGAGAAGAAGCCCAGCTAACGTTACTAATTTGAGATGAATTTACTCTATCTTTGCCCTAATCCACGACAGTATAATTTATCTGGTTGATAATATAAAATACATTTCCTAGGTGAAGGCCACAGCTTACCTTACAACTTTATTCCCCAGTGGTCACCGCAGAAAAAATACTGAGGAGAGACTCGCACGGAAAAACGAACCCTC